TTAAGAAAAACGCAGACCACAGCACGTTTCAGCGCAGAAAACCTCGAACAGCTTTTTCTTTGAAAATCAGAATTTTCACTCAATTAGAAGAAATTAAGCACACATGCATTACCAATGCCTAGAATGCATATGACACATGATATTTAGGAGATTCAACTTCAGATAGCTGGCTCAAACTGCAAGACATTTTTAAAAGCTCTCCAGACAGAGACTAGAAGGCAAATGTCCCGACTAATGTAGTACCACAGGCAGCACATTATAAATTGATTGTCCACCAGCCATCAAGAAGGAAAAAAAACCACCCCAAACAACTGTGCTTGAGTTTTTCCCAAGTAATAAATGTAGTTGATATATTCAAGTAGTGCAATATCTGAATTTCAGCACAGCTCCCCAGTAAACACCAGTTCTGGAATCCTCAGTGAAGCACTGTGAAGTACCGTATCGTTAAGAACATCTATTTTTGCCAAATACAACCCCACCTTTTTAAATTTGTAAATATTTTTCAAACCTGCTAATAAACCAAGATGTATTTATAACAAAATAATCTTATTCGTACTGAAGGACATATAAGATTTGGGACAATAATTTGTCTTCATTATACCATATATTTAAGGAAAAAATAAAAGATAAAGGCAGATAAAAGCTGCCTGTAACAACACAGTTACTTCCAATTGAGAGGAGAAATTTTACTTTGGCTATTTTGGCAGTCTGCTACTTCTGAGTGCAAAGAGCACTAAGAGAGAATCACTCCCATATTTTTAAAACAGGGACAAACAGGAAGTCAGAAGTACAGAAATATTCCACAGCAGGTTGAAATAAGTGTGATATTTGAGCATGGCAATGCATGGGCTGTTTTTTCAAAGGAATGTAAAAAGATAAAACTTCAGGAAGACAAAACCTGTAATGAATTTAGCTATAAATGTGACCAAAAAAAATACCCCAAAACCCTGCAGATTATGCTTTTATAGAACCTACTTAGAACAATCATAGTTGTAGCAATAAAGCAGAATCACCTTACTTGAAAATGTTTCTGCTTCTGGGAAGGCAGAACATGATAGGAAATTCTAAAACTTTGGGAAGGGAAAAATAACAAGAAGAGCTGGGAAAAAAAAAAAGCTTAAACTTCATAGGAGCGAGGCATTTACAAACTCTTGACCCTGAAGTGTGCAGTACCAAACTCTCCAGCCAGAAGTTTTGAAAGGCAGCACAGCCTCAGTGAGTGAACCAAATTCATCTCATCCCCGAGTGTGCCGGTGACACATTTCCCCTTTGTTGTGCTGCACTTTGATCGTCCTGGAACAGCACCTCACGGATAACAGCTATTTATATTGCCTCCTCATGCCACTCAGCTCCCTGGTACGAAATAAAGTAATAAATAACTCATTCCATACCTTCCTACTGATGGGATCCCCATTTATTCACCTACTCAAAGGAGAGAGGACTCAAAGCTATTCACCTGGATTACACGCTTGTAGGATTGTAGCCTTGCACTGCTCACGTGGAATTCAACCAACGCGGTTTTATTGCAGAATATCCGTAGAGCCAGCCCAGCCTGGAAGGAGGCTGGGATGTGGCCTTCCTGAAGCCACTGCCAGCCTCGAGGCATTGCAGATCAAAATGCAAGGTGTAAGCCCTTGGAATGTGCTCATCTTCAGCAACACACCGGAGGGGAGAGAGGAACACAGGTGCACACTTGTTAAGCTGACAACCTGCAGCCCTTCTCTCCAAGAAACCAGAACATTGACCGGAGAGCGCAGCGACTCCAACAGATGTCACTTAATGAACAAATTGTGAATAGAAAGACACAGCTTTTAAAGTGCCACCTTGCCAGAAAATACAATTTCTATCAAAACCACGACAACAGACACTAATGCCAAACTGCCCTATGCAAACTGGATCAGGAGGCAACTATTCAATTATATGAGATGATAACCCTAACCCCATACTTTAAAAAAACCCACAAAACATACATCTTCTAAGTATTATTTAGACACCTAATTAAAACTTCTTTGTGTCTGGAAATTACCAACAGAACTACTATATAAAACACTGTGGGAATTAATTAATTGCAGAAAAAAAGATATTAACTATTCAACTCTCATTATAAAACTGTGAAATTAGGTTATAATTCAAAGCTCATTAATATGAGTGTAAACAGCTAGTATTACGCAGTCATAAATGATGGAGCCATTGATCTTTTCCTATTCCTACGTAGAAATATTTGAGAAACAGAAACTATCCATTAGCAATTGTGCCTCACAACATGCAGCTGAATATGCCTCTGTGCTCCGCAAGATACCAGATTAACTAACTTCTTAGACTATTGCTTTCAGGACCTGTGAGGATTTTGGCATATTATGAAACAAAACAAAAAAACACCAACCCAGAAGCAGTAAATTATGATTAAAAAAGAACTGAAACTAGCTCAGGGAACACTGCTTTACTTGAGAGAGTAAATACAATGCTAAGTAGCAAAACATTAACAGCATGGTCTTTGTTCAATGTTTGCTGCTCTGCAAAGATTCAGCTAAAACAAAGCATGGTATTAGATGGTAGGATTTTCTCTTTTCAAGCCCTAAGTAACACTACCAAATGGAACACTAAACCTCTTTGCAAAGTACAGAAGTTCTTTCAAACCACTCAGCTCTACATGCTATCATCTTTGAACCAACATACAGTCATTTATCATTTGTCTTTTCAAACACAAACTTACACAGAACAGAGGTATTCCTTATTATTTATAGTTTTCTATACATTCCATGCAAGACAGCAGAGAAGATAATTTTAAAACAATTGCAGTGTTTCCATCATTTCAAAAACATCACAGAATTGTTGCCAAGCGAGGACTCAGAAGTCCAAAGTCCCTCTCTAACTGCAGAGGCATTGCTGTCACAGAGACTCGACTGGATTGTATTTTCCCAAGCACTGCCTCTTTCAGAACGGCACAAACATAAAACTGTGCCTCGGAGTGAAAAAAAAAGAAAGGGACTAACCAAACCTGCCCATGGGGAAAACCAATCTGACACAGCGGTTGCTATTAATTAGCATTCCTATTTGTTCAGTGCTACTTCCAGCTTCCAAAGGAAGTGTGACCGGCTTAGCTAAGAATATGCTACTTCTCAAAGCTGCTAGCACTCTATTTCCTGGGCAAACAAGCTGCCCTTCAGTGCCACACGACGCACTGGTGTTCTGGAGAGCATCAAGGTTAACAACTTCCGTCTATGCGTCCTGCACCTATGTACAGCCTTAAAAAAAAAAGAAATTCAACATTTAAAAGACATTTTAAAGGCGCTTTTTTTCCCTCTCTGTTAAATGAACCTAAGGAAGCAGCAGCAGAAGAAAGGGGACTGCCTGACAGATGGTCACAAGCAAGCAGGTGACCCCTGAAGCTTTCCAGCTCTCCGCGAGTCAATTATTAATGGGGATTTCTCTTCTTACCGCCCCATCCCATGCAGAGAGGAGCAGCAGCAGCAGGAAAACCTCATTCAGAATGCATCCATCCCCGCCAAATGACTCTGGGAAAAAGCAAGCCAGCAGCGGTGAGCAGATGGTGCGAGCGGCTCGGGAGCCGGGAGCGCAGCCGAGAGGAGCGCGGCGAGTCCGCGGAGCCAACCCTGAACTTCCTATCCCGAGCTCCCGCTAAGACATACCGTGGGAGCTGCAGATGGCCCGGGCTCTGCATCCCCGCGGCTTTGTTTATCGGAAAATATTCAAAATGGAAACCTGACTCCACTTCTAAAAATAGCCGAATTTACTCCAAGTCAACTTGAAGTCCCGCTGTTGAAGTGTGTGACAACAGTGAGCAAATACCTCGTCTTATCTCCAAAAGGCAGCATGTCAAGCCAAGAGGGGGGAAATGCCCAGACGAGCTCTTCAGGTCCTCAGTAGCGGGTTCTTCACAAGAACCGGCACCGAGAAGGGGCGAGCGCGGAGCGGCCGCCCCCGAGCAGCGGCAGCGCCCGCCGGCCCCGCGCCGCCCCCTGCCGGCAGCGCTCCCGCTGCCCGGGCTGCGAGCCCTCCC